ACTTTTTTGCATCAAGTTTCAGTCCCAAAATATGTCTGATAAAGATAAAATACAACGCTTAAGAGAAAATGTATTTCTTTAGAAGTAAAGATGCAAATCTTGGATCGTCTTTTAAAAGGAGAAAAAGCATCTCAAATTGGAAAACGTCTTAATTTAAACAAAGCAACAGTCTGCACTATTGAGAAAAATGAAAAGAAATAAGAAGTACAGTTGGTGCAGGATCTTTCGACATCTGCAAAATGTGCAGCTCGCCCGCAGGTGCCAGTAATTGAGAAGATGGAAAATAGAATAAATGATAACTCAGCATTTGGATTGATGATAGTTGTCAATAAAGAATTCCGTTGGATGATAACATCATGAAATAAAAAGCACTCAAAATTTAGAAGCACCTTAAAGAACATGGAGAATCCTCTGTCAATGCAGATTTTGTGGCAAGTAAAGGTTGGTTCAAAAATTTCAAAAAGCGTTTTGCCATTCTAAGCATAAAAGGTCAAGGAGAATCTGCATCAGCTGATAATGAAGCTGCTAAAACGTTTCCTGAAAAAATTCAAAAAATTATAGAAGAGCAGGGATATACAGCAAATTTTCAATATTGACGAAACTGGGCTGTGGTGGAAAAAAATGCCCAGTAGAATCTTTATATTGAAAAAACAAAAAACTGCACCCGGAATTAAGGTGACTAAATATTGTCTAACTCTACTTTTGTGCACTAACACATCGAGGGAATTTTGTGACAAAACCTTTATTAGTTTACAGATCTTTAATTCCTCGTGCACTTAAATGTGTACATACAAACACCTTACCTTACATTGGAAAGCAATTCCAAGAGCTTGGGTAACTGGAAATTTATTTAGAGATTAGTTTTTAAATTGTTTTGTGCCAGACATCGAACATTATCTAAGAGAGAAAATTTGAGCTTCAAGGCACTATTAGATAATGCTTCATGTCACCCACAAGATCTGAATCATCCCAACGTCAAAATACTGTTCCTACCACCTAACACTAATTTGTTACTCCATAGGATCAAGGTATTTTTAGACGTAACATTCAAAATCAATTAATGTAATGGAAGAAATTTTCAATCAAGCACTGTATCGACATCATATCATTGTCGCCGATAGAATTGAATACATCAAGGTTACATGTGTGTTGGAAGAAGATATGGACCTCTTCAGTTGAAACAGGAAACGTGCGTGAATCGTCAGAAAATGAAATTGGTGGCACATTAGAACTTCGTAAGTCAATCGGAGATGAAGGTTTTCTGGATATGGCTATTGAGGACGTTCAAGGTTTATTAGTTGAAGAAGAAATTTACGATGCAGGTTTGATGGAAATGTCATCCAAAGCTGTAAATCAAATCGATTCTGAGAACACTAGCAGTGATGAAGCTTGTGCAATTAATAATTTAATTGCAAAAAATTTAAAGAAGGCCTAAGCTTAACTGAAAATCTCGAGTCATTTTTCTTGAATGCAGACCCTTCCACTGAAAGAAGCGGAAAATTCAAAAAGGGAGCTGCAAAACTATCTAGCTCCATATCTAGAAATTTACAATGACCTGGTAAGAACTAGTAAGCAAAGTGAAATTACATATTTTTTAAAGAGGGAAGAAGGTGACAGAACTTTAAATGAAAGAAAAAAATCTGAAAATGAAAGCAATCTCATTCCACCGAAAAAAACATTCTCAGTTGATTATACTGAGCCATGACGGCAAAGAAAGTAATTAAATTAAAGTTGTGTTAAATTAAAATAATATTTTTTATTTTGTGTTGTACATACATTTATATTTTTTATAAAAATTAAAGTTATTTATGTAGAATTAAAAAAATACTTGGTTTTAATAAGATTTCGGAACGTAACCCCCTTTTTTGTACTGGCTCTGGGTCTCGTACAAGACGGTTTCAGACAACACAGCATTTTCTAGGAACCTATCTACCGTGTTATAGGAGGGTCACTTGTACATTCTATATTTTAAGACTTGCTTATTGCAAAACATTCTTTACGATAAAATGATTTATTCTGGCAGTGTTAATCAGTAATTTGGACACTCAAAGCTTTGTTGAGACCTTCTGAAAACATCTGGAACATTTTGGAAAACTTTTAGAATGATTGCCCTTTTTCTTTTTTTTTTCCAGTTTTAATAAAAAAATATTGCAAGAACTATCAGTACTTTTCCATTTCGCCAGCGCAAATCTCGCCAAGCAGACTTTGTTGGCAACAACATGCAGTATACGTATAAAAAAAGTTAACAAATGTTAGTTCTAAGAAATTTTTATTTTGAAAACATAAACATTTTAAGGTTAATCTTCGGATTATGGTAACTTGGCGATTTTTTGGGGAAAATTTGGCGACCAACCCTGCTACAGCAACCTGCTAGTTTTTTTTTTTTTTTTTTTTTTTTTGGACGCCATTTTGTTTTCACGAAGTTAAAGGCTTTTTTTTTTTTAACTCAACATTTTTTCCAACAATCTGCTAGCCGAATTACGCTTATACTAGAACTTTTATGGAACAAAAGTGCTTAATCATGACGAAGATTAGGTGCGAAATTGGGAGAAAGTGCAGAATCGCCCATTGCTTGCCACGTTTTTAAGAATTGCACATACAACACCGTATCCATGTACACGTCGACCTATTTTCACTTAAAAAAACATCCCAGAATTGTACAAAAATCGCATTGCGCACACTCTTGACTTTATCCATGTACACTGGTAAAGTCCTAGCTAGTAATCTTTATCGCCTTACCAAAATGTCGCCAAACTACCTGTTACCATATTCTAAAGATTAGCCCATTTTAATATGGTTTATAATTTTGTAAAAAGCCAATAAAGACAATAAATTTGTAAAAAGACATTAATTTAAGAATTTACTATGCTATTATGGCTCAACATCCTGATTCGCCGGTTCGTATCGCGTGACCTCAAGTGATCTCATCTCGCGTAAACTACGCTACAAAAATATAATTCTCTCAGTAATTATATCTACATTAATTTCAAGTTAAATCTTAATTTGGAATACAAGTATTTCAATTCGTACGAATAGCTTACTCAGAAATTATGTAAAACTGTAGTGCTTTACTTCGCTAGTGCATTCTCATTATTTTTTTTTACCCTTGATTTTGCCTTTTCTATATTTTTGCCTTTGGGTGAGTGGTGTTATTGCATCCTAATTAATTTAATTACCACGAATGTGTAATGTATATACGAGCCAGTTTCCCTTAGAAAGTCCTCCTCGAAGGCACCCCACGAGTGCTTTGCCGTAATCTAATAAACCAAACCAAACTTAATTACCACGAATGATCTTAGAGCATAAAATTGAATTAAAAATTGAATTATCTTTGTCAATATTCTATGTAATTGTATGCCAATATTGAAAGAAACAATCAATCTGGTAAGAAATTGCTGCGACTTGTTTTGAAAATGAGGCGTAAAAAGTTACCAGCGAAGATATTTCGTTTGGCATAAGTTGTACCATTATTGGCGACTTTATTGTTTGCGCCGGCAAAACGGAAAAATACCGACTTATCTTCTACATTTGGAAATGATTACCTGTTAAAGAAAATATATCCGCAGTTTAATAGGAAAGGAAACATGGCAAGATACAACAAGTTCTGTTTGAAATTTAACAATTCACTATTTTAAATATGACACAAGTATTCAAAATTTAAAAAAAAAAAAATCCTTAATGCAATCACTCAACTGATGAATTAAAATGATGGAAACTGCATGGACCTCTTCTATATGCACTGAAGGCTGGACCACATTCTAAGCTAACACAAAAGAATCATAGATTTATGCTTAAAAAAGTAAGCAAAACCCTAAAATTTGCACTGTAACACTTACAGGGGATTTAAATGGAGGATTTGCAATACAAACACATCCTGAAACTGTTACAAGAGTTATTAGTTCAAGTGGATCAATGGGCAATCAGTAAGAAGGAAATTTTCTGTTGAAAAGAAAAGGAAAGGAAAACACATCGGATGTTTTAAAAATACATGGTAAGCAAAGATTTATCATATTCAAAATGGTGGAAGCATAATGGTTTGGGGGTATTTTGTTGTCTCTAGGATGGAAAATTCAGTTTTAATAGAAAATAATATGGATCAGAACAATAATACATAAATATTCTTAATGAAAACTGGACAGCATCAGCAGAAAACCTGGAATACAACATAGAAAATGAATATATTTTCTAGCAGGATAACAATTCTAAACACAGAGCCCTAAATTTTCGCTTGAGATTTCTTTAAAACTGTCCTAGTTTCAAAACTTTTCTTCACACTCAAATCCTATCAAAAATATATAGAACGAGTTGGAGAAAAGAAAAGTAAACATACCTTCAAAAACTCTATTCAAAGCAATTCTTATGGAGGAATGGAACAAAATGGGGCACTTACTCAAAAAATTAGTTAAAAACTACTAAAAGTTAATTTTCAGAACTTTTAATATAAACTATTTTCTTGGCAAAAATGTTTTAAATAACTTTTTGAAAATTAGTGAATTTTAAAATAGATGATTTAGTATTATACGTCAAAGAAAAACAAATTCATTTCGCTAATATTTAGTAACTCATATTTGCAAATAAAACTGAAACACTCACGCGACTAAATTACAAATGCGAGCCATTGTAGTAACAATTATTAAACTAATATTAGCTTAGGAATTGCTAAAAGAAGAAAGAAAATAACGTTATGATAATTTCTCTTTTATTAATAAAACATAACGCAAATTTCATCGAATGCGGTGTTTTATTGGTGTACAATTTAATTTTGTATTCGAAAACTTAATAATAAACATATAATACACTGCTCATGAATTACCATTTAGCATTTTAAAATTTGAATTATATTTATACTTAGAAATTATTTTTGCATTTCATTAGCATACTCATTCATCATCAAGAATAATAGATCGGAACTTTATTAAATTTGTGAAAAAAATACATTCTGAAAGTAGCTGACGATATTTAAAACGAATGCAAATAGCAAATGGATATATAAAACTTACCTTTCCGTTTCAAGGTCCATTATAAGCAATTTTCAGAAGAACCGTGAAACATATGTAGGTGAAGGTTACATAACGATACCATGCGTTCAATTTCAAAAAAGAAAACAAAATTTACATTGATATAATGCACACGGAACTCAGGAAAAATTTTAGTACGTTAGGAATAAAAAATAAAACTACGTTAAACCGTTCAAAATATCTCGGGGGAAAACTCTTGATTTGATAGATAAATTATGCCATGTTTGTTTACTTCTTCTTGTGGTTTCGAACTTGTAGTACTTAAAATTTTAAGTTGAGAGAAAACAAATATTTACTTGCCTTTTTTTTTTTTTTTTTTTTTTTCCCTCTAAGATGAGGCTTATTCGTTAGACTTGAGATTTCTCTTTAATTATTATTTAAAAAAATAAATTGTCTAATATACTTAATAAATGATTTGTAATGTATGTGAAGTCATTTTTTTCATTTAATAACATAATAAAGCGTAATTAGATGAAGAAACTGAAAGCATTCCGGCAGAGGGTAAATAAAAAGAGGCAATCGTAAGGCATGTTTCCATAACATTGTTTTTAATTTTTGCTGGGGGTCTAGTATGGACTAGTCCGTCACAATTATGTACAGACACACGCCAAAGGTGTACGGAAAAGTTTACCGTGACGTCACGGGCTTCTGGATGGGTTACAATATTTGGCTTTTTATCATGTTTCGCGGTGAATTATGGCAAAGATTAACAATTTATCGTGCGATGTAAACAAACATCGAAGATTTCTTGTTAGGGTGCAAACGTTGTTGTAGTCAAAGAATATCTTAGATATTCGTTGTTTAGTGTTCGCTTATTAATAAATTTCTTCTGGTGATAATTCAGTTAAAATCACTGACAAAAGTTTGATAGAACATGTGAGAACTTCCATTGCAGTGTTCTTTGAATTAACATTTATTTCCTGCTAAACATATTATAAATAAAAGAACAAAACAATCTCAATTTTTAATATCTCCATTAGCACTTCATATAATTTTTTTAGTGGTATGAAATAAATTTTGTGCATATTGATTTAAAAACTATTATCATCAGGGATACAAAACTGAGTTTTTTTTTTCCTCTTACGAAAGCACTGAAACTGTTTAATTATAAAAATACTATTTTAATACTGAATTTTGAAACGCATTTTTTCTGTTGATAATTTAGTTAATCGTAAAATGACTGTGCTTTCGCATAATTTAACATCATTTGTGAAGTGAATGACACCTAAATTTCAGATGTGATAATTTTTTAAAATTTGTTTCTGCCTCTGAAATCAAAATTTATTCTAATGTTTTGCGAGTTTTTAAGTGTATCAAAATGTCAATGTTCCATCGGCACTTGTGCAGAAACATGGGAAATTGACTCATCGTTTGTTGTAATTATTATGTCATTTAATGTGAGCAAAATGTTGCAATGTATTTGATTTTTTTCCTTGATCAATGATGAATTTGAAATTATGAAAAAATAACGTATGGTGTAGATGATGACAGAAATTTTTAATGAATGAATTTAGAAACTGTAAGATGAAAAGAATTTTACCTTTGATCTGATTCACAACTGCATGTCACAAAACATACTTCATAAAGTATGCCGAAGTTTTATTCCTTGCAAAAACATGATATCTATTATTCAAGTTTGTGATCAGAGAATTATTATAGAGCAATGAAAGAATATGATCTTCGTGAGGTGAGCTGTATTCTTCATAATGAGGAAAATTTGGAATTTTATTCCTTGCAGAAAACATGATATCTGTTATTCCAGTTTGCGATTAAGGAATTTTTATAGAGCGATGAAAGAATATGATCTTCGTGAGGTGAGCTGTATTCTTCATAATGTGGAAAATTTGGATGAAAGTGCAAATGAATTAATAAGGACTAACCTCCCTTGGTGTATTTTCTGCATCTTCTAAATACATATTTTGAAACCATGTTTCAGAAAACACAATAATAAACTGTTTTAAGCAGGATAACTTTTACTGATGGCAAAATCAGTCACTTTCCCCAAACAGATCCAAGTACAAAATATGAAAAAAAAATGTCTTTGAATATGATGATGAGAAAACTTTCTTTACTTATTATTCCTCAAAACTGTCTCACCCAGTGCTCATAAACTGTTGTATGAATGAAATTTTTCATGACAACTGCATGCTGTCCACTATTATTGAATTTTTAGCTCTTATTTCTTAATGAAAGTCCTGTAGAAACATGCAATTTTATATTTCTACTAAACAACCATTTATTTAGTTAAATTGTATTGCAATTTCTTTGGGCATATTTCTCATCATTTAATATTATGATTCAGTTTTTGCTATCAACACAGATATGGACGAATGTAATGATATGCAAAACAGTGTGTGGTGATGGCGATAAGGAGCGCGCCTTGCGCCCTCCGATAAGTGTGGCAACCCTAGAGGAGAAGTTTCTTACGAGTAGCGAGCAGAGCGAAACAGGCAGGCTGTCGGGCAGTGTGCGCGAAGTTCCTAAATAAAGCTTAATTTTTATTGTGCACTATGTCTTGTTAATATTATATTAATGCAGTAAGAACATAATCTGTGATATGGAATTCGAGGATTGGTGGTAAAACATAACCGGAAATCTCCATAATGGTAACCCGGACTGTGTTAAATCGTATGAACAGTTCTCAAGCACTTTCGGTTTTGACTACAAGCCATCACTCAAGATCTCCAAACCAGAAGTAATGGATTACATCGGTTTTCATCCTCCGAATCACAGATGAGTAGTAATTATAGATCATTTTATAATTCTGTTTTCTACTTATCATTTAATTTCATTTTCTTTAGTTAAATTTTTGCTTTTATTTTGGCTTAAAAACCTTGCACAATGTCTGATGTTTATGCCGTCCAAATTCCGGTTTATAACCGATCAGACCCATCTTTATGGTTTATTATGTGTGAAAGTACCTTTGCTCTTGCCACCCCCAAACCTATCACAGAATCCATTACTAAATATAATTATGTAGTTGCTCATCTTCCTCCAGATATTGCTTCAATAGTACGGGATTTACTTATGAAACCAGACCCTATTGATCCATATGCAAAGCTTAAAACTGAGTTAATAAATCGTTCAGGAGAATCTTCTCAGCAAGAAATTCGCCAATTATTATCTGGAGAAGAATTAGGTTCTCGAAAACCTTCCGATTTGCTTAGAAATATGAAACGTCGAGCAGAATCTTTAAATGTTCCTGATAACTTAATGTTAGAATTATTCCTTCAACGTTTGCCTTCGACTGTTCAGTCTATTTTGGCAGCGGTTTCCAATTTAACTGTAGATAAAGCTGCAGAAATTGCCGACAGAATTTTAGAAGTAAATCCAACCCCAGGGACTTGTGCCGTTTCTCGCACAGTCGATCAGTCTCTTGAGGATAAATTATTTAAACAAATAGAAAAATTAAACAAACGTATTGATCGCATTTCTCTTTCTCGTGGTCGCTCGCCAAATCGCGGAGATCGCAATAAGGAAAGAAGCAATTCCAAAAGGAGAGATTATTCTGTTTGCTGGTATCATAGACGTTTTGGGAAAAAGTGTAGAGATGACAAATGTACAAAACCTTGTTCATGGCAGGGAAACGAAACCAGCAAAGAATAGAGGCGACTTATTCTTTGCCTCAAGTTTCACGTCGCCTGTTCGTTCGTGACCGTAGAACAAACCTTTCATTCTTGGTCGATACCGGCTCTGACGTGTCCTTACTTCCAGCAAATAATTCTCAAAAACGGAATTCGTCCCAACAAACACTTTTCGCTGCTAATTCTTCTACTATTCATGTTTATGGTCAAAAAACACTTTCTTTGGATTTCAAATTAAGACGACAGTTTACATGGACTTTTCTTATAGCAAATGTTAGTACACCCATTCTTGGAGCAGATTTTCTCCATTTCTTTGAATTGGTGCCTGATCTCAGAAACAAATGTCTCAAAGATTTAAAAACGCATTTTAAAACCGTCGGTTGCGTGAAAAATGCAAGCATTTATTCAGTAAAAACTGTATTTAGTGATACACCATATCACAAAAATTTTAAAAGAATTTCCTTCAGTTACTAGATTACCAGATCCTAACCAACCTGTTAAACATAACACCGTTCATTATATCATAACTAAAGGTCCACCTGTGGTTGCAAAACCTCGTCGGTTAGCTCCAGATCGCTTAAAAATAGCAAAACAAGAATTTCAAACTATGATGCAATTGGGGCATTTGAGACCTTCGAGCAGCAATTATGCATCCCCACTTCACATGGTTCCAAAAAAGGGAAGTCTGGAATGGAGACCTGTAGGAGATTATCGAGCATTGAACGCTCAAACAATAAAAGACAAATACCCTATTCCATGTTTAGCCGATTTTACTGCTGCATTGCACGGTACTAAAATTTTTAGTCATGTCGACCTGATTAAGGCATACCATCAAATACCAATTAACCCAGCCGACATCCCACAAAACCGCCATATGCACACCATTCGGTTTATTCGAAAGTACCCGTATGCAATTCGGCTTATGCAATGCATCTGCGACTTTTCAAACGTTTTATAGATGAAGTCACGCGGGATTTAGAAGGCGTTTACGCTTTTGTCGATGACTTGCTCATAGCCTCTAAAGATTCTGAGGAACATTGCAGGCATTTGAAAGCTTTATTTTCCAAACTTCAGGAATATGGACTTTGCATATAAATGTTTCAAAATGCACCTTTGGTCAAACATCTATTGATTTCTTAGGTTTTCACCTTAGTGAAAACGGAATTGAACCTCTTCCTGACAAAGTCAAATGTATTTTAGATTTTCCTCAACCTACCACTCTCACTCAGCTTCGCCGATTTTTAGGCATGTTTAACTTTTATAGATGTTTCATACCTAAAGCAGCACATATTCTTTCTCCTTTAATAAAATTGTTAGAAGGCTATATTAATAAAAAGAAATCTCGTTCTCGTGTTCAGGATTCATCCCCACAATTAAATTGGAACGAGAATGCTGAACAAGCCTTTATTGCTGCCAAAAATGCCATTGCTCAGGCTACCCTTTTGAGACACCCTATTCCCGGAGCCCAGCTAAGCATCTGGGTAGATGCCTCAGACGTCGCAATCGGCGGCACACTTATGCAGTTGTCTCAACAAACATGGGAACCTATAGCATTTTTCTCTATGAAACTCAATAAAAGTCAACAGAAATGGTCCGCGTACGATAGGGAATTATTTTCTATTTATTCTGCAATTAAGAAATTCCGACACATGTTAGAGGGCAG